ATTGCAGTGAAAAGGAGAGAGCCAGCCGTAGGGAGTCAGGGGCCAGCTCGGAATTTCTCCTCTGGCGCACTGGTTGGTGATAATCTGTACACCTCGCGTCTTCTCCCCACACTCAGTTTCCTTATCCATAAAAAGGCGGAAAGATTAATATCCACCTCACATGGTTGGGGGTAGGCTTATTATGTATGCCAAAGTCCTTTCTAGTGGTTGTTGTTGGGTTGTTTTTCTTCTGGTTTTTTTTGTTTGTTTTGTTTTTTTAAAATCTCAGCTTGTCTTCTCACAGTAGCCTGCTTCCCCCTTGTGGATAAAATTCAAATCACATAGTAAAATCAGTCAATAAAATAGGAACCAGAGGTTTATCTCGGCTTTTTTTTTTTTTAAACTGAAAACAAAACAGGCCTTCAGGTAGGTCTTGGCTACATCTATTATGGTACACACACACAAGGGAATATTATTGAGCCATTTGAATATAATGAAATAGGTGTCTATGGTGTACTAAGTAAAACCCTAGTTATAAGCATATAAAGTATGCTCCATTTTTGTAAATATCTAGTGTTAATAGTGTTTATGTGAGGAGGTGAAATTCAGTTGCTTTTCGCTTTCTGCTTGATAGTTGGATGTTTGAATTTTAAACAATGAGCAAGTATTATTGCTATTAGAAAATTTTAATTTATTATGGGGAGCCTATGAGTAAAACAAAACCCCCACTAGTTACCTGTTGGGACAGACCGATTGGAGTCAGAGAGTGCTCTGTCTCAGGGATTTTACAAGTACTGCATGCCCCAGTACAGCACGTGCGCATACCTAGTCAACGAGCGGAGAATTCAGCCAGAGGTGCCCGGGCCTCGCTGAGGGCTGCCCCATAGTCATTTTTCTGCTCCTTGGACCTGCTCCCTTCAGAGACCCCTGGGCAGGAGAAGGTGGGAATAGCAAGCCAAGGAGAACAAAGGGCCCTGGGTTGGAGTTCTGGGTGCATCTCAGAGGTGGGCCCGAGGGAGCTGTGTATCCACTGTCCTTGGCCATGCCGATCAGAAGACTTGAATGTGACCCTTTGTTCCCAGGATTTTGTTGTTGTTGATCTGTTAGATTATGTGAGTTCTCTGGTGCCATCCAGATACAACATTCTATGATTCTGTTTCGATGGTGCTGTGACTTTAAGATTCTAATACATCGGTGGTTTAGTTGACAAGGCAGTGATAGGCAACCTGACTCTCTTCTCTAGGTCTCCCGTGTCTGGGACTTCAGACAGGGCTGTCATTCCTGAGCCAGGTGGTGTCTTCTTACAGAAGGTAAACGCAGCTCACCTGTAGGTGAACCACCTGATAAAGGGAAGACAACCACGAAAACCACCCCCAGGCTCCATGAGACAGGCAGGTTCCAGTGAGGAGAGGGGACGTGGGAAAAGCACCCTGGGTTCATACTAATGAGGTGATCAGAGTGGGGCCCATAGACAGCTTCAGGACGAGGGCTGGTCACCATGGAAGACCACACACATGATCAGAAGGTGGGAACTTTGACCGCCAGAGACGGAAGCGGGGCTGGTGATTTGGTGAAAAAAAACTCTTCAACAGTGAGATTTAGGGGGCTTTCAGGTTGATGAACACATCAGAGTGCTGGTGAGGGGCACACCCAGGTGGGATGTACAAGCTGCCACCCCCCCAACCCCTTACCTTACCCTGTGCATCTCTTTCATTGGGCTATTCCTGAATTGTACCCTTTACAATAAAATGGTAAACCGAAGGAAAGTGTTTTTCTGAGTTCCTCCTTCAGAGAGTCATCAGAATAACATGGATTGACAAGACTTTCAAACATTTGCCGTCTCCTCTTCCTGCTGTTCATGAAAAGGGATATTAAACATTTGTTTAAATTTTTTAGATAGGTATTATACATATTTCAACAAATAAATTATGTCAATGCTTAAAAAAATAATAGATGCTTGTGTGGTCTGCCAATCTAATTCAGCAACCACTATTTTCAACTCAACATTGGTATCTTTTGCGGAGACAAAAAAAACCCATTTTATTTAAATACTTGCCTGTCTCTCCCTAGACTTGTCAGTTTCGTCTCTATATGTGCTTCCACAACCCCTTCTCCACCACGCCCAACCCCAAATTCTAGATTGCATATTGTGCAGTTTGCTCTGTGTTAGTTATTCATCTCCCTAATCCAAGTATGGGTGTGTCTTTAAAATAAGAGTCTTTTTTTGGTGATGTCTGGGTCATACTGTCATTGGTAGCATAATTGTTTTCATTATCTGAACTCTTAGGAAAAATATTCTCTAGGTTAAAAATTAAACTAGCACTATATTGGTACAAAGCACAACAGTTAACCCAAAGCCAAAGCCAAAGACTGATTGTTAATGCTTATCATTGCAATACACTTAAATTGCACAGATTAATCACATCACTTTGGAGTGATGCAACAATAGATAATCCATGATTGCAAACTACAAATCATGGTTGCAAACATCAGCAGCCAGGGGAAAAATAGTAATAGCAACTAGGAAAGGCACAAAATCTATACCTTATCCATTTGACAGTAAAAATTAAATTAGTGCTAACTAAAGCAGGATTTGAACCCAGATCTCCAATCATCGATCCAGGGCTCTTGCTTGTCGGCTGAAGGATCCGTATTACCCAGGAATGTGACCTTCAACCAGTCAACCTGGAATTGCCTGGTCAGCCCTAGTGAGATCACCTGCCTGGTGGACACCGCCCTTCCCCAAAGGCAGGGGAGCCTTGCCTGAAATCATCCACTCTTCCTTTTTGCCACCTGCTTCTGTCTATGAAAGTCTTCCATTTTGTACAGCTTCTCAGAGTTCCTTTCTATCTGCTAGGCTGGGATGCTGCCCAAATTATGAATCATGAAATAAAGCCAATCAGGTCAAATTTACTCAGTTGAATTTTATTTTTCAACAATCTTGTGCCTCAGTCTCCTCTCCCCGTTTCAATATCCTTTTGCCATCAATCAGCCCCTGCACCGTAGTCCTGTAGTTGTAATTTCCTCGGGAGGATTCCTTATTGCACCTATGGGCGTCATCGAATGTGTATGCCCCCGCGTGGCCCCGAGGAACCCTGCCATCACTTTGGCCCTCTCCCACAGTGCAGTCCTCCAGTAAAGGGCTCTACCATTTGTGTCACTTGCTACCGAGCTGGCTCTCATTCCTGGTGACCCAATGATTGACTGGCGTCCACCATATCCTGTCCTCAATAGCCCCGTTCAGCATTTGTAGACTCATGCCTATAGCTGCGTGTATGGAGTCAATCCATCTGATACTTGGTCTTCCTCTTTTCCTGCTGCCTCTTGTCTTTCCCGGCATTACTGTCTTTTGATGTAACAGCCCTGTACCACTCACTAGCACTTTTAAGTAGAACGCTCTATGGGAGGATAGCACCATTCCAAATTCCTGTCTCACTGGTTAGTCATCTTCTGTAAAGTACAGTACTACAGCAACTTCCTCCCCAATCTCCTGTCAGATCTCTCTGGGAAAGTTTGCAGCTTAATTTCCTCTTCCTCTTCCAATCCTTTTCATCATTTTCTGCTCTGAATAAACCCAGTTCCTCTGCTTGTATGGAACCGATGCCTGGCGGCTCCTACTCAGACACAGTACCTGGGAGTGGCCACACTGCCTTCCGAACAAAGCCGCTGAGGATGTGAAGTGGGCCAAACCCTGCCCCGAACAGTGCAGGCTCCAGAGCCCCACGCCTTGCTCACCCAGTCCGGAAGCGGGAGAGTTCCTCGAGGCGGATGTGACAGCTGTCCCGGGTTAAACTGTGATGGCCGTTTCAGGGCCTGATGGTGGGACTGCGGGTCAGAGTGGGGAGTTGTGGGTTGAGTCGTGAGGATGTCTGGGATTGGTGTTGGGTGGTGGTGCGGGGTGGGGAAGTTCTATGAGGGTCTGGGGTCAGGGATGGGATGAGTGTTGAGTACACATGGGGACCTGTAGAGGGAGAGTGTATGATCTGTGCATCAGGGACGGCGGGGTATCATGTGGCCCGGCCAGTGATCTGTGGACCTGCAGGGCCAGGGCCGTGATGGGGGTGTGGGTGGAGGGGCTGTTTGGGATTTGTGATTTCTGCACCTGCTGATTCACTGCTTTGTAGGGGTCATGGATGGGGACCAGGGGCTGCTAACGGTCCATCTCAGTGCACTGGGCAAGGCCTCACTTTACAGTTTCTGCAGCTCAGAGGCCACCCACAAGCTGAAGCCTCTCGCATGTTTTCTCAAACCACCATCTCACTCCATCACTCAGTCCTCACGGAGGAAAACATCCTTTGCACATAGGACCAAACAAATCTAAAAGGATAGGATTGTTATTGTCAGTTCCCTCTAGTCAAAGACCAACAGGAATGCCCTCTCATTGACTAAGGTGGGTTTCTTCCTGTAGCATGTAGGGATATGCACGCCATGGGCAGTGTGGGCTGTCTCAGGAAGAGGGGGCTAGAAAGGACTGAGGAGATTTGGCCTTGGGTTGGGTGATTTTGAGGAGGGCTTAAGGGCCTTTTGCTGAATTGGATGTTATTAGGAAGTGAGGTTATTCAGTAACTGGGAATTTCAATAAATCTTATCTAGAGAGAGGAAAGACTAGAATGAAGCTAAAACTGTAATAGGTAAAGAGTTACAGTTACTCATGTTACCTGGGAGCAGAGGGTGTTTGGTATTTTGTAGATTAGACAGTGTTGATGTTTGATCTCTGTTTAGACATGATTTCAGAGGTCTCTTTTTGTCTTATTCTGTCATGGTCACGGAGTGGCCTTCTCTGATATTGATGTTGTGTGTAATTATGGTAAATAGGAGTTACAAGTGCTAGGCCAGCTCTCAAACGTGAGGGGCTGCTTTTTCACGTTCTCATGTGATTTCAGCCCTGCCTCTTTCTAAGCTTATTGAAATTGTTGTACATTCCGTTCAACAAACATTTATTAAACACCTGCTATTCACTTGTTGCAGAGTTCAGTGTCCAGAGACAACCATGACTATTTGATTGCTTTGTTCTAGGTTTATTTTGACAAAGCCTGGGATACCCCATGTGAAACAGTCTACCTCTCATGGGAACGCTCACTTCTTGTGAGTGACTTCAGCCCTACCTGCATGACCCTTCCTGGGACCGAGAAGAATTTTCCAGGTAAGTATCTTCTTGTGTTGTGGTCTATTCCCACTTATCAATGTCCAACCCATCACTATTTTCTTATATAGATAACTGCACTATTGAAAATCAGCAATAAAATTTTAAACAAAAAAAATCTTAAAATCAACAGCCTCAATCCATGAATATTGGATTCAATGGCAAGAAAATTCTCTGGATTCGGGGAAAATATGCAAGAGTTCTTAGGATTTTGCTGGTTGCTTCTGCCTAGGAAATATGGGCTCATTCCTCGCTTTTGTATTTGTTTATTCCCATTCTTATTGCCAGGGAACTGCATCGTCTAAAGTTAAATCTTTACATATGTATGTCTGTGATTATTGTCTTATGGTAAAGTCCTACAAATAGAATTTCTTGTTCAAGGGGAACAATAAGGTGTCGGTAAATCAATGGGAAACATATCTGCTTTCACCCAATTAAAAATACACCCTGACCAAGTTCTCTTGATCATATTCTAATCACAAGAGGACTTTCTCCACATGGTGCCTGCTGACCCTTCTGAAGAAGCAAATGACCTTCTCCTTCAAGGTGGGCTGTTGTCCCCCTGACTTCTTGTGGTAGTTGCTTCTAGAATGGTGAGTGTCAGCTCTGGCCCTCGAGACTCCAGTCTGTCTCCCAGTCCTGATTCCTCAGATCTCCGCTCTTTTGGAAGAAAAAACAGAAAATTACCAAGGCCCGGGTGAGTTGCTTCCTTATTTTGTGCTTGGTTTCCACACAATCAAGTGAAAAAGTGCAGAAAGTTAAAAATTAGGACTGTTGACAATGAAGAGCAGACAAAAGATAAAGAAATGAAAGGAGTTGGTGTGTAACATGCAGATCCTATAGTTTCAAACTATTATAATTCAAATTATACATGTGTATGTTATATATAAATTATATAAAATATAATATACTTGGCATATTTATCTTATATCTATATGAATGTGTCAGTTATGTGCAGATTCGTCCCATCTCTTCTAGCAGCCACAGTGGAAAGGTAGAGGACATGATATACATAATTTGCATTCTCCACAAAGAGGAATCATCTGAAGTTTCAAGAGAAATATTTCTTGCCATTAGGATTTTTAAAAATTTATAGATGATGTCCTGACCTTTATAATTGTATTGGTAAGTTTTTTTGTAGTTGTGTCTTAAAATATTTCTTTAAGAGGGCAGTTATAATATTAGAGCTGAACTCCATAAGCATTATTATTAGGAAACTATGGCGGTTTATCCAGGGATAAAACCTCGATAAGATGGAATGATGAGTGTCTATTTTTTTCCATAGTAAATGTTCTCTCAAGTAGGCAGTTCTAGAGTTATAATCCAGTGGCAAACGCTTGGAGAGCAGGGCTCTCTGAGTCTCCGTAACCTTGGCTGTGATCTCAGGGTTTATGAGGTTACTCCCCAACTCTATGCCAGTTTTTGCTGTGGGTGGGTGGGTGGGTGTGTGTGTGTGTGTGTGTGTGTGTGTGTGTGTGTGTGTGTGTGTGTGTTTCATTTTATAGAGTCATTTGATGATTTTTTTTCCTGGCTCACCTGAATTATCTCTGTTTGGTATAAATATTTTTGAAAATACAAAAAGTAAAAATGTCTTTAATTTGACATCCCCTTCTTCCTGGGACAGCCAGTACATACCAATAACTTGTGATATTTAGATTTTTATCTCCATCTAGAACTTACTGAGTCTATTTTTTTTAAATGTAAAATCTTAGCTTTATTATTTAACTGATTGACTATCCAGTTCTCCCAATACTATTTGCTGAATAATTTGCTTATTTGAAATGCTGCCCTTATTGAATTCCCCTTGTGATTAGGTCTCTTTTGCTCTTCTGTTCTCCTGACGTGTTTGATTCTTTGCTAAAGACAGAATTTTACATCATTTTTCTCAATAGGAATGATGTAGAACTGGGCATATAGTTAGTTTTGTATGTTATGGTAAAAAATGACAAGGAAGATCATTTCACATGGATCAGGAGCATGCTATTTTAGGGTCCAGTGGCGTTTGGGGGTGTGGCTGTGGATTTCATCAGGAGGAGTGGCAGCAACTGGACCCTGCTCAGAGGGCCCTGTACAGGGACGTGACGCTGGAGAACTGCAGCCACTGGGGCTCAATAAGTAAGGATGGCTTTCCTGCATAACAGTGTTATCCAATCCAGTGCCTCTCGTTTTTCCTGTGTTTGAGTTGGATGCTCAATGACTTCCTGCTCTTTTCTCTCTCCAGTGGAGGGTCATTTCTTTGCTAGGGCCAGTGAGAAACTTCATTGTGAGACTCTTGAACAGCACCCTTTCATCTGCCTTCAGTGCAGTGTATTCCAACTCCTCTGTGATTTCCATTTACTAGGGCATCCAATTTCCAAACCAGGCATCACCCCCAAGTTGGACTAAGGAGAAGATCCATGGATCATAACGAAAACATATCAAACTGGATCTGTTTAGGTAAAAATTAGGCAGATGGAAGACAGGGCAAGAGAAACATTAGTTTCATGAAAATAAAATCTTTGTTTTCATTTTTAATTAGCTGGTGGCTGAGACTTCTATTTCCACCCAGATCAGTAGCTTCTGCTTCTTCTTGCTCCTGTACTGTGCATGGAGTGGGTACTCAACAACTAGTTAATGAAGTATTAATGAGTTATGTACAAAAGAGAAATTTCTTATGGATGCAGTCAAAAATCATTTCTTGTGCCTTTCTAAAAGAAATTGAAAGGCAATAGAAGGCAAATGTTCTTCAGTAACATAGGTCGTACATGGAAAGACACGACATCAAAATTCATGACTGTATGAAATTGCATGTTTCCAGGATAGTTACTTCTTTAGGAGTTCATTGAAAATTATACTCGGCAAAGTTTGAGCATAATTTAAGAAGGCATTTTTCAAAGTATGGCCCAGTGACTTTGAAGTGTATCTAAAGTGTGGATAGGTGGAGGAGGAGGGAGAGGGCCAGCTCTAGGAGAGGACATGCACAAATTCTTGGAATTAGGAATCAATGTAGCTTCTCTGGCAGAAATTTACTAGGCTTACGTGACTTCAATAAAACATATTTATTGTGGAATAGTGGAATATAAGCTTGAATACACAGTGTTAGTATAAAGTTAATGTTTAATTAGCTATACCCAGAAATTTTCTGTTATTATTTTTAATAGCTTTGAGATATAACTCACATGCCATACAATTGACCCATTGAAAGTAAACAATTAAGTGGTTTTTAGTATTTTCACAGATATGTGCAACTATTGTCACAGTCAACTTTGAATGTTTTTTAATCACCTCTGAAAGGAGCCCTGTCTCCTTCAGCTATCATAGCCCTAGTCCCCTTCTTTCCAGATCTAAGTAACCATACTCTGTTTCTGTTGATTTGCCTATTCTTGATATTTCATTTAAATGTAAGCATATAATGCGGTCTTTTGTGCCTGGCTTATTTCACTTAGCATAATGTTTTCTTTTCTTTTTTCTTTTTTCTCTAATTTTTATTTATTTATTTATTTTAATTAAATTAATTTATTTACTTTTTAAATACATTTGTCTCTGCCTTCCCGACTTAGCATAATGTTTTCAAGATTCATCTACACTATAGCACATACCTGTACTTCATTATTTTTTTTTTGGCTGAATAACATTCCACGTGTGGATGTAAAACATTCTGTCTATCCATTCATCAGTTGATGGACACTTGGCTTATTCCCAGCTTTTGGCTACATGAATAATGCGGCTATAAACATTCATGTACAAGTTCTTATGTAGACATGTTTTATATTTTTCTTTGGTATGAAACTAGGACTGGACTTGCTGGGTCATATAGCAACTTTATAACCAAAAGAGTCCCTGATAACTAATTATGTTGAGCATCTTTTCATGTGCTTATTGGCCATTTATGTATCTTCTTTGGAAAACAGTCTATTCAGATCCTTTGTCTACTTTGGAATTATTTGTCTTTTTATTGTTGAGTTGTAAAGATATAAATTTCTTATTTGATATGTCTCTTTATCAGATACAGGATTTGCAAATACTTCCATTCTGTGGGTTATCTTTTCATGATCTTGATAGTGTCCTTTGAAGCACAAAAGTTTAATTTTGATGAAGCCCATTTTATCTATTTTTCTCTTGTAGTTCATACTTTTGGTGCCATGTGCTAGGGGCCCATAGCAAATTCATGGTCATAAAAATTCACCCCATTTTTTCCCTAGGAGTTTTAAACTTTAAGTTTTTGTATATAGGCTTTTGATCCATTTTGAGTTAATTTTTACATATGGTGTGAAGTAAGGTTTAATTTTACTCTTTTGTAATTGCCTATTCAGTTGTTCCAGCACCATTTATTGAAAAGACTATTCTTGTCCCATTGAATGGTCTTGTACCCTTGCAAAAAAGAAAATTAATTGGCCCAAAACAAAAGGATTTATTTCTGGTCTGCGTATAGTGTTCTATTGATCTGTGTATCTGTCCATAGGGGCAGGTCTGCAAGACCACCCTAAGGTCTAATGATTCACCAGAAGGACCCACAGACTTAGAACAGCTATTATACTCATGGTTATGGTTTATTACAGTGATAGAACTTATCAGTGCAGGTCTGAGCTTTCTTTCCTTAATGTACATTTATTTAGATTATCTAGGTTTTCTTTTGTCAGTTTTGGTAATTCATGTCTTTCAAGGAGTTTTTTCTACTTCATCTAAATTGTCAAATTCATTGGTATACAATTTTTCATAATATTCCCTCACTTTTTATGTCCAACTTTCATTTGTGATATTGACACCTTATGTCTTCTTTTTTCCTCATCACTAGCTAAAACAGACTGATTTAATTAATTTTTAAATAATCAAGTTTTGATTTTATTGATTTTCCTTTGTAGTTTGTCCATTTTGTATTTCATTGATTTCCACTCTGATCTTCCTTTTTCTTGTCTTCTACTTATTTGAGGTTTAATTCGTTCATTTTTCAGCTTATTAAGTGAGAAACTTGACTGTTGATGTGAGGCTTCTTTTGTTTTCTAATACAAGCATTTAAATATAGGTCCTCACTTTGTATGGTAGTGAGGGACAATACAAATTACCATGGAAGCCAAAGATTTGCAAAATAATCTTCATAATCAATGGGAAAAATATAATTATTTTGTGACCTTTAAACTTTTTTGTCAAAACATTAAACACTGTCTTACGATTGGTTATAACTGTATAGAGAAATGAAAATACAGTAAAAGTATTTACTACCCTCCAATTTTAAACACTGAAAATGTTTTACTTCTTTTCAAAAACCCCATGTTGAACAGCTTGAACAGTCTATCCCTTCTTATCATTGTATAGCTTATGATACTGAGGGAGCCTGTTTTCTATACCTTAGTCCCCTTACTCCATTTTAAAGGGCTGGCAAGGGGATGATCAGCTGGAGAGAAAACAGGAAAATTAAGACAAACTTCTTAAGCAAGTCACAGTCAACAACAAAGCAGTTATTGAAGAGCCAGGCCATACATATAATGCATTTGGAAAAATGTTTTATGACTGCACAGACCTAGAAGCTTCAAGACAAACACTGTATAAATGAGATTCACTTGAAAGGAGCTAAAAACCTAATGTAAACCTATTCTGGTGTAATAGGGGTTATGCAAGAAAAAGCACTAATAAGAATTTTGGGTGTGGGAGAACACCTAGTGTTTCCTATTCTAAGCATAAAAAATTTCACAGTGAAGTGACTCACTGTGAAGATAGTCAGTGTGAAAAGATCATCTACAATAAACGTCTCGTTCAATATGTCAATGTTGAAACTGGGGAGAAGAGCGTATGTATTGAATGTGGAAAATCTATTCAAAATTGCAGTCATGTGGGAAAGCCTTCAGTGAGAAGTTTCATCTCGTTGTACATCAGAGAACTCATACTGGGGGGGAAACCTTACGACTGTTCTGAATGTGGAAAAGCCTTCTCTCAAAAATCATCCCTCATTATACATCAGAGAGTTCACACTGGGGAAAAACCGTATGCATGTAGCGACTGTGGGAAAGCCTTCTCCCAGAAGTCACCTCTCATTAGACATCAGAGAATTCACACAGGAGAAAAACCTTATGAGTGCAGAGAGTGTGGTAAGACCTTCTCCCAAAAGTCACAACTGATTATACATCACAGGACTCACA